CCCGTTTATGAGCACTCTGTGGCCCCAGGCACAATCTCCCATGAAGCAGAGCTGTGAAAGCACAAGGCTCAGCAGCTGCAGCCCTTTCAGCCCCAAAAAAGGAGGCAAAAATAGGTTCAGTTAATGAAACAACCTCCAGAAATGCTATTTTACATCATCTCAAGCCTGGCAATGTCAATTCTGGTAATTTCCCTTTCTTACTAATTAACATCTCCAGAGAAACATCCAGGAATCCTTTCCCAAGCTTTGTAAGGACTTTCAAATATATCCAATAAAAGTGAAGTAAAAAGAACATTCTGACAGGTAACAGCAGCTCTGTGTGTGAGATACAAAGTGAGGGGAATATTGGACATTCAAATCCCAGCTCAGTCAATTTGTGTTCCATGGAAATCAGGGAAGGCTCAGGGAAATGAGCTCTGTGCAAATCACACTCTCCAAAGGCAGGCCAGGAGGTTCCTCCATCCCCCAAAACAGGCAAAAATCACCAAAAATTTCACATTGTTGCCAAGCAGGACCAAGTCAATATCCAACATCACATCACCAAGATTTTTCTTTCCCCTTTTCATGTTGTCAAGTAACTATTCTGCTCTTTCATTCCTTTAAAAGTTTTTCCATTTCTGCTCTTTTATTTCCTAGATTAAAATTTCTCCATCTCTCCACTGTGTGTTACTGGAACTTAATCAGTTCAGCTCAATTAAAAAATTTCCAAATTAATCTAAACCAGAGAATATTTTCATTCTTAAAAAAATAAAGAAAGAAATAAAGAACCTTTTGGTGCACTGCAAAGATACCTGTCCCCAGTTTTTGTGATCACCTCCATCCAAAATTATTCCTCAGTGTGATTAAAAAAAACCAAAACTCTGACCTGAAGCCTGGAGTTCTTGTTCCTGGAGCCTGCAGGAATTCTTCACACCCATGTTGGTGCACCTGAAATTCTCAGTATTCCTTGCTCCAGGGCTGTGGTTCCATAGCAGAGAAGCATTAAATACCTTTTGATCATCATTCCAGAAATAGGGAAAGGAAAATAATCTGATTTAACTCCACCAGGTCCTGCAGGAAAAAGCTGTCCAAAATTCTGATCATTTAATATTCACCTAAATTCTGATCATTCAATATTTACCTAAATCCTGACCATTTTATATTCATTTAATATCCACCTCACTGGAAAATGCTGGGATTTATGGTATTTAAATGATGTTTCACTCTCCCCTTGCTGTGGGATCTGTACCAGTTGAGTATCTGTGCTTTTTTTTTTTTTTTTTTTATTTAGGTTGGAAATTTAGAATAATTTAGGCTGGAAAAAAACCTTTAAATCTGGAGTCCAGCTGAGCCCCTCAGAGCCTCCAGGTCTGAGGTGTCCCAGTGATCTTTGTTTCTGCTGGAGAGTCCAAAAAATGGGGAATATTTATGAAAAAAAGTAATAATGAAATACTGCAAAGAACTGAACACATACACTGTGGTTATCACATAAAATTAAAAGCTTTTTAGTGTTTAAAATAGCATTTACACATAAGCAGCTATATATTAACTATACAGACACTTGGGTTTTAATACAATATCTACAAAAAAGAATTCAATTATGCAATAGACATTTAACAGGAACAGTGCAGTCCATGCTAATAAGAGGTCACTCTTTGAGTAGAACCAATTCTAGGATAGGTGATAGTCTGGGTTTTCATTATTTAAAATCATGTAACTTTGTTCCTCTACTGTACATAAAATTCTTTTTTACATGTCTTTCTAATCACTGATTAGAATTAATAATTTTAAGTCAATCTTATTACAATCCAGTTAAATGCAAAACAAAACAAAACGAAACAAAAAAAAAAGAAAAAAAAAACAACAAACCAAAAACAAAACAATTACATCAACCCATGATCTGTCAAGTCTCAGGAGGGAACAAAAATCATAGCAAAAGTCAAAATTTGTGCATCATTGCTTGCCATCCAATAAAACCTTTGGATAAAGTGTCCAGGGACTGTTTCCTTGGCAAAGCAGGTTCATTAACAGGAGGTAAAAGACACCAGCATGCTTTTAAGACTATTTGCCAAAGAATTCACTCCTCAGAGTTCAAAATCTGGGTGGAGACGTTCCCCCCGCAGCTCCTGCCTCCCAAAATATTCCCTCACCCTCTGCACGCAGCCCGGGATTTATTCTGAGCTCAGCTGCAGAATAAAAAATGGCAAATTCCCTTCAGGCTGCTGCTCTGAGGGTGTTCCCTGCACTGCACCTTTCTCCCTGCAGCCACAGCAATCCAGGGCCAGCAAATCCAAATTAAATTCCAGGCCCTGGTGGGATAGAAATGATGGGTTTGCAGCATTCCAGCACCCCAATTTTCCTCCACCTGGCACAGGTGGCACAGGTGGCACCTCCAGGTGCTCCTGCAGGGAAGGACAGAGCAGCACAGGGCTGGAAAAAACACCAAGGATGGAAGGCAAGGCTGGGGATTTGGGGGAATCTCCTGCCTTTGTTCCCTTGAGGAAATGGAGGGCTGAGCTTGCAGTGAGTGAGCCCAGGCTGTGCTGAGAGCTGGGGAAATGCAGGATTTTTCGTGTTGCTGTTCAATATTGCACTGTTCAAGAGGGGCACTGCTCCCTCCTACTGCAACAACACCCAGAGCATCCTGTCCCTGCAGTGGGGGAAGCTCCTCCAGTCTCATTTCCTCAGCAAATTATCATCTGGGCACTCCCAGCCTCGTCCCAGGGTGAGCCACGAGCACACACATATTTAGAACACTTTTTTTTTTTTTTTTCAACATAGCAGCAAAGACCAGCAAGACACAGAAAAGTTTCTGCCAACAGCAAAACCACGGGACAAAACCAAACCCCCAGCAGGTGTAAACTGCAACTCTTGGAAAAACACATGGAAATTAAACATGGGTGAAAGCTCAGCCCTCAGCTTTAATACCTTTTTTTTTTTTTTTTTGGAAATATAAAAAGGATTTTTTTTTTCCTCCAGCCTTCTGAGTTCTGCCTTAAAACAAAGAGGGCCAGAGAAATCATAATTTAAAGAGGCCAGAAAAATCTCAATTAATTTAAAAGTAGAACCACTAGTGATTGTCAGTAAAGTCCTCAGCAGTGTCTCCTGGAGACAGAGCAGAATTCCACCACTATTTTACCCTGATTTGCTTCACCTGCTTTAAGTGTCAATCTTTCAGAATAATTCACCAAGTCAGGTTTGCATCTGGAAGGGGGAGGGAAGGAAAAGTCCTGCTGTACAGTCAAGCTTTATAAAGGCAGGGCCTCTTTTGGAGGAGCCATCCATGGATGGTGATGAAAGCTCTGCTTGCAGAAGCCTTGGGCAGCTTTTGGGGGAGGTTTTTGTAAAGAGAATTAATTTAGAAGCCCAGAAATGGGCTGAGTGACAGAGTTTTCCCAAATTCCTGGCTCCCTGTGGAAGGAGAAATTGAGTCTCCCATTACAACAAAAATCTGGAGTCTCTGACAAAGGGAGGTGTTTGCACACAGAGGTGGGAGAAAGGAAAGAAGTGAAAAAAATCAGAAATGTCCAAGGAAATGGACGTTTTGAAGAGTCAGTTCTTTGAGGAGCTCCAGGGTGAGTTTTACTCAGTGTCAGGGTAAAGATTTATTTTTGAGGAAATCCGAGGTGGGTTTTACTCAGTGTCAGGGTAAAGATTTATTTTTGAGGAGCTCCAGGGTGGGTTTTACTCAGTGTCAGGGTAAAGATTTCTTTTTGTACCATTTCTGATCTGTTCTCAGACACCCTCACACCTCTCTGCCCACTGTGCCCTGGGGGATCAGACATCTCCAGGTCTCTGTTTCAACAACAAAAAAAAAGAGAAAAGATTGTGCTCAGGGAGGAAGGAGGGATCACAATGAAGATCCACATGCCAGTGGGAGCCAGGATTTCCCAGTGTCTCTGCTGGAATGGGATAAACAGCCCCTTCAAAAGGGAAAAGCTGACAGAACTGCAGCAATTTTCCTGTTTCTGTGGGAATAACTCTTCCAACCTGCAAGCAAGTGCACATGCAGAGGGAACAGCCACACCTGGCAGCAGGGATGTGACTGAAATGCCCAGGAACCGAGTGCAGCTGGAAAATCCCTCTTGGGAAATAAGGAAATAACTGAAGGAAATAACTTTACAAGTTCTGCACAATGAACACATACAGTAGCAAGACTCCAGCACCGCCTTCATAGAATATCTTTAAAAAAAAAAAAAAATAATAATAAACCCTCAAAGAACCCCAAAAAAGATTGATTTACACTTTCTAGTCAGCAGAAAGTAGCCACAACTTTGTTTTCCTCTAGGAATTGGTTGGATCCTACTCCTTTCCAAGCACTTGTGGGTGCCATGCCTGCTTAGAGCTATGGATGCATCCCAGCATTCCAGGGCAGTATCCCAGATACCAGCCAGCAGTCGTTTTGTCCTTGCAAGAGAAAAAAGCAGGGAAAAAAAAAAATAAAAAATCAAAGTGCTCCTATGCATTGTCAGGAATTTAGAAGTCATGTGAAACAGCAGTCCTCCAATCAGCCCAAAAAGAGACATTAATTCCACTGAAGTAGGTGCCACAATGACCAAAGCTCATTAAGATGTGAATATACACCAGCCATTCACGATCCAAAACGAGATGGGGAGGGGAAATAAAATCAAGGTAACGAAAAGATGCCGTCGATTTGCTGATATTTAACAATCCCAGGAGATTCTGTTGTTCATTTTTGTAGGTGAGGGAGATTTTTTTTGTATTTTTTTTTTTCTTTCCTTTTTTTCTGTTCAGTTTCGTCAGGGGCGTGGTGAGGGAGATTTTTTTTTGTATTTTTTTTTTCTTTCCTTTTTTTTCTGTTCAGTTTCGTCAGGGGCGCGGTGAGGGAGATTTTTTTTGTCATTTTTTTCCTTTATGTTTTTTTTTGTTCAGTTTTGTCCATTTTTTTTTTTTGTTTGTTTGTTTGTTTGTTTTTTTTTCCTCTCTGCGACACGCTTGCGAACAGGAAGGTGTGACATGCAAAAAACAGCCAAGCCAACCCCCCCAACGACAAAAAAAACAACAAAAAAACCAAAACCCCAACAAAACCCACCCTCTGTGCAGAGTCTTTTGAAGGCACTTCCTCTCACATGATGTCCACGAAGAACTCGCAAGGGTTGCCCATGGCCTTCTGGAAGGACTGGCGGCTCCCGGTGAGCTCGGGCGGCACGGCGCTCAGCTCCCGCACCGGGGGTCCCCCGGGTGGGCCACTGCTGCCCAACGCTTTGGAGCCCAATTTGGGCAGGCTGTACAATGGTGGCACCCCTGGGGGCCCGTAGGAGTGGTGGCTCTGGTGGCTCTGGTGGCTCCTGTCGCTGTGGCTGAGTTGGCTGAGTGGCCGCTCCCGGCGCGCTCCGGGTTCCGACTCGCTGCCGCTGCCCCCGGATTTGCGCTCCTTGTCCCTGCCCGCTCCTCTCCTGCTGGTCTCGCTGGTGCTCCGGTTGGAGCCGCTGCTTTTGCTCCCTGTCAGGTCCGGAGAAAAGTGGGGGGGGGAATAAAAAAAATAAAAAAAATAAAAAAAACAGGAGAGAAAAGCAGGATGAGCTCGGCTCTGTTGGGTGAGGCTGGTGGCGGCTCGGCGGTGAGGGCTGTGCCATGCATGGGGACACACAGACACATCTCAGAGCTTGCAGCAGATAAACTCAGCTCCTGGATCAAATGCAGCCTGACAGAGCTTGTACAGTGAAAGCAGCAGATAAACTCAGCTCCTGGATCAAATGCAGCCTGGCAGAGCTTGTACAGCGAAAGCAGCAGATACACTCAGCTCCTGGATCAAATGCAGCCTGACAGAGCCTGCACAGTGAAAGCAGCAGATAAATTCAGCTCCTCACTCAAATGCAGCCTGACAGAGCTTGCACAGTGAAAGCAGCAGATAATTTCAGCTCCTGGATCAAATGCACCCTGGCAGAGCTTGTACAGTGAAAGCAGCAGCTGAATTTCAGCTCCTGCCTCTAATCCAACTTCCCAGAGCCTGCACAGTGAAAGCAGCAGCTGAATTTCAGCTCCTCACTCAAATCCAGCCTGCTAGGAGAAGGGAAGAGCAGGAATGGAAAGAAAAAGCAGGAATTTGGGGTTTGACTCAAGCAAGCAAGGTTTAATTGTAATTGTCTCTGCTTTGGTATTTTGTACCTTTTCCAAAAGAAATCCCTTTGCATTCTCTGTCACCCTTAAATCCCTGAGGTTTTGTTGGCTTCAGAGGGGAGGTCCTTTTAAAATTCCCACTAAAGCATTGTGCTGTTGGAGAATTCCCTAGGAAACAACTCCTGAAACTGCTCTACCACAAATTATTAACACCCAGAGAGGTCACTAAAATCAGTAACACCCAGGATATTGCTCCCAAGACAGGCCACTAAATCACCTTGGCAAACCAAAGCATTGCCACTGAGTATCAGCTGAGTTGTTACTACAAAAAAGCTTCACTACACTTCAAGAACTGATTTTTTATGGAAGCTGAAGGTTTTGCTCTGTTCCCATGAGACACAGATTAAGGGACAGTTCCAAGCTAATTTTTTTTTTTTTTAAATCCAACTAATCAACCCAAGGAATATCTCATTACATTCATGCTCCTTAGTGCAAGATGGATTTCCCAAAAAGGATCCCCAGCCAGCAGAACAAGGGAGGAGCTTTTGAGTCTAAATGAGCCACAGAAATGGGAAAAACAAAATTATTTTGGGCTGCTCCTTCTTGAGCTACAGATGTTCATCCTTTTCTGCTGCTCCAGCTGATTGGAGAGATGGGAAACCAGACTGGTTTTTTGGGGGAAAGGCTGCATTCCCTGCAGAGTGCCAGAGAGATGGAAAGCAGACCACAAAACCACTGGATTTTAAGTTTATATTCTAAACCTGGGCCTCTGAAGTGGTATTTGTGATTGTCACGATTCAATACTGCAGATAAATGAGACAAACCCCCAATTTTAACACGATTTTGAGAGTGCCCAGTGCAGCCTTGTGTTCCCCAAACCTGCCTGAGCCTCCTGGCCATCAATTAATGGGCAGTGCAAGGGCCCTGGCAGAGAAATCCAACCCAGAGGGGTGACAAATAATAAATTTGGACTATTAATTTTCTGAGCTGCTGCAGCACAGTCCCACAGGCTGATATGCCAATCTCACACCACTGTGCACTGAGACAGGTCGAGCGTCCGAGACAATTCAAAAATCAAAATAAAATTTAATAAATAAATAAATAAATAAATAAATAAATAAAAATTACAGCTAAACATTTGGGTCACAAGGATCTAAAAATGATCATGCTGTGAATTCATCATGGAGGCATTTGAAGCTTACCAATCCCCTAGAGTCAGCCATTCCTCTAGGAATCCTTCAGTCTAATGCTTGCTCAGGACAAAACAAGGGAATAACAGTTACAAAGCAAGAAACAGCACAGAACTTGTTTTCCACGAGGAAAAACGTGGAAACTTTCAGAGCTGAACACCCTGGTACCTTTTTGGGAGGCTCTCCACAGCATGGATAAAATACCATTCCTTTCCTATTCCAGCAGCAGGGAGAGAATTCCTACTGCTCACAGAAACAGCTGCCAAAAAAACACCCCCAGGTTCTGGCCAGGACAATCAGTTTCCACTTCTAAAACCTCTGGGAGATTCCTCATGGAGATTTTTTATTTTGGGATAAGGTGAGAAGCAGCTTGGGCTAAAGCTCCTGTTATGAAACCTTTTTGTGCAATTTTGTGAAATCTGACTGGCTGTGGTAAACAGGGAAAAGTGACATCCAAATTACTGGATGTTGACTGTAAAAACACAAGGAATCCTCACCCCTTCTTTACTGGCAGCATTTCCAAAAGCAAAACTCACTCTGGGAATGATTTTTAAAAAAAAATAAATTAAAACATAATGTCTGAACAGCCAAAAATGACATCATTTTTATTTACTAAGGTTTAAAAATGAATCACAGGGCAGAAAAGGAGGAGGGCAGGTCTTTAATCCATGCAGAATTCTCTTCCTGTCCCTGGCACACATGCCAGCAGAGACTCTCCTCCCTGGGAGCAGTGCTTCAGCCCTGGAAACCCCTGGCTGGCCACCTCCCACTTGCATAAAAACTGATTTTCCTTTTGTGCTGATGTGAAAGCCAAGAGCACTTTGGTTCTAATCCCATCAGCACAGAAATTGCCTCATTTCCACCAACACCAACCCCAGCGCTGGCCATTCCTGACTGGGTTAAACCTGGCAGTTTCCACAGAGAGCTGAAAGCCAAACCCACTCCTCCAGAGACACAAACACCTTTGATTTCAGTGCTGTAGCACACAATCCATGCAGGGAGCAACCAAAACCACGAGACAAGCACGGACAGCACGAAGGAACTTCAAGCAGGATGGTGGGGGATAATGAGAGCTGTGGAATCCGAAGCAAATGATCCCAACTTACCTTCACTCTGCTGGCTGCCTGCACTGCCACTGCCATAGCTAAAGCCTGGGTCTTGGTAAGCTGGTGGGAAACAAGGAGGGGGCAGAGGATACTGGTAGGGATATCCCTGACCCAAGGGCCAGGGAGCAGCAGGATGTGGGAGGGGAGCCAGGGTGTCCTGGTCCGAGGCGCCGCTGGAACCGTTGTTCAGGTTCAGTGCAGCCAGATCTGGTAAAGAAAAAAAAAAAAAAAAAAAAGTGAAAATTTCTTACCCAGTGTGGACACACACATTCACAGAGCTGGGGAATTCCAGCTTGGGAATTCTTTTCCAGGCCTGTATTTCTCCTGACTCTCAGCTCC